ATATTTGGACCCGACGGGTCCATTTATTAAATACCCGAAAGTTTTGGGTCGGTTCGGGTATCTTCAGAACCGAACCGAACCGACCCACGGACAGCCCTATTGGAGAGTACACATGAATAAGAAAAAATGATAAATTTTTTAAGTTTTAAGCCCCACAATCATTATTTAAAAACTTTTTTTCTACATACTCATTTTTAATCGTACGTTCATCTAATAAAATATTGGATAATTAGCACATATCGTCTTTACATTTCACTATTATTGTGAAAAATATCATTACCTTTTATTTTTGACATTTTCACCATTATTTCCACATTTCATTAAGCAAAATGTATTTTTCATCCATTTTCTCAATTACAAATTGTGAAATAACGAATATATATTTTGTTTAAATAAAACAAAGAAAAAAAGAACTAATTGCAACCATAATCCCAAATTTTTTTAAAAAGTACAAATGAGTTTCAAATAAATTAGTAAAAGGGCAATTAGCAATGTCCTCACCTTTCACCATTATTGTGAAAAATGTTTCTGTCTTTCATTTTTTGATATTTTCATTCTTAATTCTACATTTGATTGCGCAAATCATTATTCTATTCATTTTCATCCAATTTGTCAATAAAAAAGCTATAAAATGACGAATATACCTTTTTATTTAAATATAAAAAATAAAAATAAAGAACTAATTGCAACTATAATCCCAATTTTTTAAAAAAAAATTCAAATGAGTCCCAAATAAATTATAAAAAAATTAAAAATTAAAAGAATTAAAAAACGCAAACGAGTCCCAAATAAATTATTTAAAAATAATTTTCTTTAATTTTATTTTTTATTTATTTAAATAAGAGCGTATATTCGTCATTTTACAATTTTAATTGAGAAATTGAATGAAAATAAATATAAATAATGGTTTGTACAATTAAAGATGTAATTAAGGGTGAAAATGTCAAAAATGAAAGGTATTAACTTTTTCATAATAATAGTGAAATGTATGGATATTATTTACTAATTACTATTTCACTAATTTATTTGGGAATCGTTTGCAAATTTTTTAAAAGTTGGGCTATGGTTGTAATTATTTTTTTATTTTATTTAAATAGAATGGTATATTCGTCATTTCACAACTTTTAATTGAGAAAATGAATGGAAATAACATTTGCCCAATGGAATGTGAAAATAAAGATGAAAATGCCAAAAAATGAAATGTAAGAACGTTTTCCACCATAATAATGAAAGGTCGGGACGTTATGTGCTAATTACCCATAAAATATTGGAAATATTGCAGCAGCGATTCCTATTCTTTTCATTTTTTTATTTTTTTGGTAGATTTTACAATAACCTTCAATTTGTACCTGCAAAGGTCCCCTAACATTTCAAAAATATGCATCTGGAGTCCAAATGAATGGAAATCATCCAGTTAACCATTAGTTGAAAAAAATGATTTTAACCAAATTTAATAAGGGCATTTATGTTAATCACATAATAAATCTTTTAAAAATCATTAAGCTTAAAACAATATGAAAAAAAAAGAGAGAAAATAAAAGAAATAAAAATAAAAAATCATCTTCTTCCACATCTCACCCAACCCCCACTCCCCCCACCCACCCCCAAAACTTGAAAAACACTTACCCACCCTTCGACTTGTTATTGTCGACCACTACCTGCTACTGCCCGCCATCGCCGGCCACCATTGCAAACCAAAATCAGCATCTCAAACAACAACACAAAGAGTTTTCCCCAATTTGAAAATTAGAATCTTAAAACCAACTCCATCGAAATGGGACGATGCATCGAATTGGCTAGTAAATCTATTGAAAGGAAGAGAAAAATCGGACAAAAGCTTTCCCCAGTAATTTAAATGCTGATGACGGGAGATTGATAATTCCGATACCAAAGAAGGAATACTCAAGTGGAGATGAGGAAAAAACGATGGTGTTGACTCTATAAGTGTGAGTTCATATGAAGTGGGAATTAAGAAAGTAGATTGTGATGATATGGAGAACCAATAAACCCGTTAATAGTTCTATTAAGGGATATATATCTCACATCGATAAATGATATTGACACAGATCAATTAATAAAGATTTTGGGCTACTCTTCTTAATAAGGTTGACCTTTTAAAATGGAACTCCAATTCTTAACATGGTATCAGAGCCCATTATACTCCAACGAGCGATTTGATCCCGTTAA